GGAAAACACGAGCCGTAACGTAACTCACCTCACCCAGCTACCGTGGGGCACCTGTGGGAATCTCTCCTGGGTGCAGCATGGATGGTAAAGGCTCCTTCCCTGCTCCAAAATGGTCACATGATGCTTCGGGCCACCGAAAGGCTTTTCTCCTGCAAGCAATTTGAAAGCATTGTGAGATTTCATGCAAGAAACTAAACCATCACTACTGAGGGGTTCCTAAGACAGCACAAAGCAGTAATGACTGCTAGTTAAGTACTGACACCCAGCCTGCGCGAGCCGCTGCTACGAACAGAGTGATTTGCAGCATGGACAGGACGCCGAGCTAGCTGCCAGATGACAGCTTGGCCCAGCCTCCCCGCTCTGCTTTGGCGGATTCCCCCCCCGTTTCCATGAAAAAAAAAAAAAGGGAGAAAAATGGGATTGGACCCCATCGCTGCTGCAAAACAACACAAAAAATGGGTTTTCCCCCACAAGAGGAAAGGTATCAGAGCTGCTGGCTTCAGCAGCACTCATGTGAGCAATATTTTTACGTGTTAGGGTAGCGGAAACTGTAAGCCTTTTGCTCCCCACCCAGGATGACAACTTGGGGTCCCGACGCACGTGGGAGACACGTGGGTATCAGCACGGTCCTGGAAATGCAAGAGGGGTTTTTTGTGGGCTGGCGGGGTTTTTTGTTTAGCACAGGGAGGTGAGACCTGGCTTTCCTCCATATCCTTGTGGAGGGGAGATTTTAATTTGCCCATTTTGCCATGTTGTTCCCTCCCCACTCCAAAGGCTCAGGTTTCCACGTTGCCAGTCAAAGGGACCATCTCCAACGATCCACAACCACATGCTAAGTTTCCAAAAAACACCACGTCTGTCACAGGAAAAGGGGGTTTTCAGAGACATTGTCACCCAAGGGCAGCAAAAGGTGACATTTCTGGAGAATAAATAAAGACCAAGTCAGGGGTTTCTTAGACAGTTTTATTAAACTAAGGTGAAAAAGGAACCGTAACAAACCATCTCTTGTGGATAGCGATAACAAACCATCTGGGCTCAGTTCAACTCACTGAATCAAGTGTAGTACAAAGTGCATGGATTTCAACTCTCCTGTAAAAAAGAGAAGAGGGTAAAGCGACTTTGCAGTCTTGCAGAGTCCCTGGAGAGGAAGACACTTGTGCTCAGTCCAAAGTTTGATTTTAAAGATGAAAGACGCAGCACTGGGTGCAAGTGACACACTTAGTTTGCTTCGCCGGCTCATTCTGAGCTCAGAAAAACTGATGTGTTCTCCTCCAGAACAGTCTCCCGGTCTCCCTTCCTGGTTTATTGCCATGAATTGGGATTTCCTCTTCATGGGGATTGCTGCCTCTGGCTGCCGCTAGCTGCCGTGGAGTGGTTTGGCATATACCGGCTCAATGAGGTGGTAAATCAGGAGCAGGAACAGGCACCCAAGTAAGACCAGGCTCATCATGGCCAGGAGGATGAAGCGGCCAATAAAGAAGGTGTCCACGATCTGCAGACAGTGGGGGGAAAAATACAACAACACACGTTACAGCCTCAGTCTACTCCAGCAGCCTGGAGGGAGCGTGCTACATCCTGGAAAAGAGGACTGTCCAAGAAGATCACTCCAGGAGGAAAACCCCAGATTTTTCCCCTTGCTTTTCATTCCTGACACGGGTGTGTGACGAATGATTGAAAGAAGAATCCCTTTCCTCTGAAAAAAGCCGCCTGTGGGAAAGCTAACGTGGAGGAAAACAGCAACACAGTACCGAGCACAGGGAAGAAACACAAGTCAAAACCTGCAGCAGCTCTCCCCGGCCACAAACCTCCCAGCCCTGTAAGGGACTGCGCACAATTCTTCCCTTTTGGAAGGGAAATGGGGGGGAAAAGAAAAAAAAGAGTAAAAAAAGAAGATACAGCCGCAAGGCAAGACACAATGAAGAGCCAGCTGTGAGAAGGCTGGTTACAAAATCATCCTCTCAGTTCTTGAGACTACCGCAGAGCTTCGCTCACCCCTGGCTCAGTTCTATAAATCACATTAGCACACGCTCAGCCTTGCTGCTGCTGCAGAAAAGGTCTCTTGTGAGCGATGCATTGGCTCCTTCTGCACGTTTCACTTTTTAATTAGCCAATTAGCAGAGTTTCGCTGCAGAAAGCCCAGGTCATGTATTATTGATAGTCAGGGCAGGTCCAGTCCAATTGAAGATCCGAAAAAAAAAAGCTTTCCATTTCTGTTGGCCTCCTGGTCACAAACGCGCTCAGCTGCCCTTCATCTCGCTTACAATCTTTGCACGAGCAGGTCCCGTGCAAGGCAGAGAAAAGAAAAACTACAAGAATCTTTAGCAGGGATTTATACAGATCAAGATCTAGAAGAGCAATAATTAATGTGCATTAATAATAGAACAGAGGAAACGGCACCTAAAAAGCCACAAAACTTTGTGTATTCAAAGCCCAAAGAGCTCTGGAAAAACTCAAGGTGGCAGCTCAGGCAGCGGTCGTGCAGGCAGCCTGATCAGACCCGACATCAGGACAGACCCCTGTACCTGACAACACAGACAAGGGGCTGTCTAGAAAACACAGCCTTACTTAAGCGTGGCAATAACCTACAAGAGAGCCAAAGAGCAGTTACTGGGCTTTAAAATAGCAAACAGAGCTGGGGGAAAGTGAAAGGCTGCACAATTAGAGGGAAAATTATCAAAACTACCTGCCACGTGGCTACTGGCGTGCTCCAGGGTATGTTGGAAGACGGAGGCAGGCAGGAGCACAAAGAGCTTGTGGCCCAAGCTACAAAAGGGGGTGGCAGAGTGGGAGCAGAAACTGCTGGAGCTCAGGGATGAGCTGGGAGGGATAAAAGTAAGAGTGTAATTCCTGCACAGAGCACCTTGGGCCTGGGGATGGCAGAATGGGAGCTAAACCCCATGGATCACGTCTAATGGCACATAAATAAGGGATTTTGTTAACGAAATAAATATATCCCTGCTCCATGAGCAACACAGCCTTCACCAACAGGAGCCCGTGCTGGAGAAGGAGCCGCAGGAGACCAAAAAGGCAGCGCAGGGCCATCCCCGGGGCATCGGGGCTGCTGCTGGGGCCAGCCCTGAGGTAAAGGCCCATCCCCGGGGCCTCAGGGCAGCTGCTGGGGCCCATCCTCAGGTAAAGGTCCATCCCCAGGGCCTCGGGGTACCCACGGGGGCCATCCTTGAGGTAAAGGCCCATCCCCGGGGCCTCGGG